GCTCCACCTGGAATACTGTGTCCAGTTCTGGGCACCACAATTCAGAAAAAATGTTGAAAAACTGGAGCAATTTAAGGTGGAACTGGAAAAAAATTACCCTCCAGGAATTACTAGAGACAATAGATGAGGCAAAAAGTGGGACATCCCCTGGCCCCAATGGCTTTATTATGGAATACTATAAAAAACATTCAAACCAATTAGCTTTACCACTCTTAGAAATGATGAATGCTGTAATAAGTGATAAAATTCCAGCTTCATGGTCACAAGCAAATATAACATTAATACCCAAAGAAGAAAAGGACCGAACTAACCCCAAATTATAGGCCCATTTCACTCTTAAATTGTGACTATAAGATTTTTACTAGTGTAATGGCGAATAGATTAAAAAAAATGGTTAAATAAATGGATAAATGTGGACCAAGCAGGATTCCTTCCAGGAAGAAAAATTGAATTTAATTGAATATTTCAATAAAAATATTGATAAAAAGGGGGCAATTTTCTTTTATGACATGGAAAAAGCATTTGACAGCCTTAATTGGTTTTTTATAAAAGCAACTTTCGAGAAATTAGGGATAGGGGCTAATTTTAAAAAAAGGATAGAAATGATTTATCATTCACAGGAAGCCAGAATATTGGTAAATGGTGAAACCACAAAACCCTTCAAAATTGAAAAAGGGGTTAGACAGGGTTGTCCGCTCTCCCCGTTATTGTTTATCACCTGTTTTGAAATTCTTTTGGAGAAAATAAGAGTGGAAAGACAGATACAATGTGTAAGAACTAAAAATAGTGAATTTAAAGTTAAAGCTTTTGCGGATAACCTAATGGTATCGTTAGTGAATCTGATAGAAGGAACCAGTAAATTGAATGATTTAATTAATGAATACGGGAAATTAACAGGTTTAAAAGTAAACAGGGATAAAACAGCCATGTTAATGCTGAATTTATCAAAGGAGGAAAAAGAGAAGTTAAAAGAAATGACAAAGTTTAGAGAAAGTAAAATGGTGAAGTATCTGGGTGTAAATTTTACAACTAAGAATTCAGAATTATTTAAAAATAATTATGAAACTAAGTGGAAGGAAATTAAGGTGGATATGAACAGGTGGGGTAACTTAAATTTATCACTGATGGGCAAAATTGCAACGGTAAAAATGAACATACTTCCCAAAATGTTATACTTATTCCAAAATATCCCGATAATGATTAGTGATACACCATTCCAAAAATGGCAAACTGACATATCCAAATTTGTATGGGGTGGTAGGAAACTGAGGATGAAGATGAAATTGCTCCAGGACATGATAGAAAGAGGGGGCATGAGTATGCCTAATTTTAAAATTTATTACTATCCCTGTTGTTTATATTGGATTATGGATTGGATTAATTTGGAGAAAGAAAAAAAATAAAAATAGAAGGATTCGATAAAGTTTACTCATGGCATGGTTATCTATTATATGACAAAATTAAACTACATAAAAATTTTAATGATCACTATTTAAGAAGAGCTCTTCTGAGGTTGTGGTGTAAAGTGAAAGCTAAATGGGATGACAAGATACCCCC